GACGCCCGCTGCAAAAAATTATGGCGCATGGATCTCAGGGTCTCGTAAGTCGTCGTCCGTCGTCGTCTGTCCCCCCTCCCTCCCCCCTTGGCCCAGGGGTCGCTGGCGAGCGGGGGGGAATGAGATGGAGAAGGCCTTCTCAGAAGGCGGCGGGACTCCTCAGAAGCCCTCGCGACTTCTGAGAGTTTTTTTCTGCGTCTTCGGGGATAAAGCTTGGAAAACTTCTCGAGGGCCGGGGCGCCTCCGAGCCTTTTGAGGAGGCCCGCCCCTTCTCGAACGCCTGCTGGCTTGGGGGGCATCACTCGGCTCCCCCCCTGGCCCCTCGGGGCGGTCTGGACGCCTCCAGCACGCCCAGAAGGCGAGGCGCAGCCGCTGGCAGGCAGTTTCCGAGGCCAGCACGCCGCCGCGAGCCGACGCACACGCTCGCAGACCCCAGCAGACCTCGAGCCCCGAGCCCCGATGCCCCCCTGGCCTCGCCGCCGCAGGGGGAGGGGGGGGGGGGGGGGGGGCGGCGCCGCCCTGCCCCTCTGAGGCCCCCGCCCCCCGCCGAGGAGCCCCCTGGCCGGGGCGGCCCCTCGGCGGGCCGTCGGCGGGCCCTGCCCCTCTGAGGCCCCCGCCCCCCGCCGAGGCGCCCGTGGCCGCGCGGGCGGGCCCTCGGCGGGCCCCTCGGCGGGCCCGCCGCGCGCGGGGCCCCCCGCCCCCCCCGGAGGACCTCTGCGGTGCCGGTGCGCAGCTCTGCGCCCCGGAGGCTCGGAGTGCGCTGCGCTTCGCTCGTCGCTCGCCGCCGTCGCTCGTCGTCCTTCGCCCCCCCCCCCCTCTCGAGGCTCGGCGTTGCGCGTCGCCCTGTGCCCCCTCCCGGAGCTCGGCGTGCTCTGCTTCCGCTCGTCGCTCGCCGTCGTCGCTCGTCGCCCCTCGCCCCCCCCCCCTCCCCCTCTCGAGGCGCTGCAGGCCCGGGCGACCCCGCCCCCGCCCCCGCCCCCGCCCCGCCCGAGCGGGCCCTGCCCCCCGGGGGCCCGCCCCTCCCGAGCGAGCCCCTCCCGAGCGAGCTCCTCCCGAGCGAGCCCTGCCCCCCGCCCCTCCCGAGCGAGCCCCTCGCCCCCCCTCCCTCCCGAGCGAGCGTGCCTCGCCCTGGGGCCCCGTGGGCGTCGGCGCCGCCGCCGTCCGCCACCGTCCGCCTCCCTGGCATCAGGACGGGCACCTCCTCCGACAGGCGGATCTTGGAAGAAAAACTGGAATAGGCAAAAAATATCAGAACAGAGCAAAAGCGTCAACAAATGGTGGGGAAACTCGTCCCCGCACTGATTTTCTACCATTCTTGAGCATTCCGCCTGTATAGGAAGTGCCCGACTCAACCCTGGCCATCCCGGACCTCCCGTGCCCCAGGACCTCTCTGGTCCCCATCCTGATGCTGCATCCTCGGTGGATCTTGCCTGTCCCGTCGCGGCCCCATCCGCGTCGAATCCGTGCCGAATCCATGTCGGACTCCTCGGATCCGTGTCGAATTCGCATCGGATCCACGCCAGATCCGCGTCGGGCCGAAGAGAAGACAACAGGCATAGGGGACAGGCGAGGCCCCCCGAAGATGCAACGTAACCGCCCCAGGTTATGTGTTTATGTATGTATGGATTTACTTATCTATTTATGTAAATTTTAATGTATGTATTTATGTATTTGTTTATATATGTATATCAGGGGACAGGCGAGGCCCCCCGAAGATGCAACGTAACAGCCCCAGGCCCCCAAACCGGCTCTGACAGGGCCGAGGAGACCCCGAGGCCCTGCAGGCGCCAGGTCGCAGGCGGGCCGCGTGCTCCCTCGCCCGCCGTCGTTCCTCGCTCGCTCCATCCGCCCCCCCCCCCTCCGTGCCCTGGCCCTCGGGCCCCCGCCCCGCGCCCACGGCCCCCCCGCGCCCCCCCTCGAGGAGGCCCCCGAGGAGGAGGAGGAGGAGGAGGAGGAGGAGGAGGAGGAGGAGGAGGAGGAGGAGGAGGAGGAGGAGGAGGAGGGAGGAGGACCCCCCCCCCCTTGCACAGGAGCCTCGCCCTGCCCCCCCCGACAGCGCCCGCGGCGCTGTTCTCCCCGACAGACACCCTCGGCTCCCTGGTGCCGAGGCGCGAGACGCGGGAGGGGCCCCCGGCACACAGGACGCCGCCCCGACCACGGCCCCCACCGCCGCTGGGCCCCGCCTCCCTGGGGAGTGGCCCGGGGAAGTCCCTGGCGGCCTGGCCGTCCTCCCTGCCTCCGGAGGCGGTGGCCAGAGGCCTGGGGTCCGTGGGGGGTCCGGGCCGGCTGCGCTGAGTTTGATTCATTTGGAGTGCTTGCCGCGGTGTGCCTTCGACAGGAGCTTTCTTGCACCCTGCACGCGCAGCATACTGTTAATACTGGATGTAGCGAAATCCATGGAATGCAATACATAGATGTGGTACAAGCTGTGCAAGCTATCTGTGTGGCGCAAGCTTTGTGGTGCAGGCTATGTGGCGCAATATGTGTTGTGCAAGTAACGTTGGGCATCCACGCATGACCACCTCCCATGCTCGAGCAACCATCCAACCCACCCACCTGGAACTTGCTGCCAAAACTCTGATGCGTAATGACGCGAGGACCCTTGTCGTGCAAATGATGATGATGGTGGTGACGCAGATGGCGAGAGCGACGACAACGACAATGAAGATGATGTGGTCGATGACGACAATGGTGCCATTGACGACGATGGTGATGGGGACGAGGCTGACGGCGATGATGATGACGGTGAGAATGGTGACGTTGGCGATGATGCTGATGATACTGATGATGATGTGGTGCTGGTGAAAATGATGATAATGATGCTGGTGATTATGATGATGATGATGATGATGATGATGATGATGATGATGATGATGATGATGATGATGATGGTGGTAATGACGATGGTGCTGATGAGGATGATGGGGAAGTGCGCTCACACAGGAATCCCTAACTTCTTATAACATTAAGTATAATTGGAAAAACATGTGGTGTCCGTACGTGGTCGAACACATTCTTGCTGACATGCTTCGCGTGTGAACGGATTTTGCGCGCGTGGCCCGCATGGTACTGCTTGGCACATTTGGCGAGTGCACACTGCACAATGATTGGTTGATGTGTTCGACATGCGTACACGTGTGGGTCCGCACGCTCTCATTTGACAGCGTGGCACAACAATGAACAACTTCTTACACATCCAGTCCATCTAGTAGGCGTATGTTCAACCTTATGTTGGCGATACCACTTGTGTGTCATAGTAGTTCATTAAGGATGGCTTGGCGTGGCTAGGAAACCATTGCTGTGAACGGTGTTGACAGGCGCGCGCGGGGACGCGCGCATGAGGTCCGCACAGTGTACAGAACTTACCTCCTAGATCCACGCATGCGCACCGCATCGCATCTTCTGCTAGAGATGAGCGATCGTAAATGACCTGCACGTTTAAATTAAACCCGCGGAAAAGGGGGCAACACCCGCCCTCGGTGGAGGAATTCCTACATACATCAAAGACAAAGGATATACAGACCTCCTCGCTGACAAACCACAAACACGACTTCACTGGGTCCTGGGACCGTCAGCACACTACCCGGGATGAAGGACCAACCTTGGGGAAAGGACTGGGACTTCCGAGGACACCGGAAGAAAATCGGCACATCGGCTATCTGAGGACGGAAAGGCAGCAGAAACCGAGGCTGTGATGCACCACATGTTGTAGAAAAAATGTGGTGCAAGCTGCGTGATGCACTCGATGCATGAGTACCCAGACATGCCAGACCGCGCACGGGACGCCCACGAGGAGCCCACGGGCGGACACCTGCCACCAAAAACAACAACAAGATACTTATCAACAACAACAACCACCACAACAGCAACAACAACAACAACAACAACCACAACAACCACAACAACAACAACAACAACAACAACAACAACAACAATAACAAACAACAAACAATAAGACTGTTCGCTCTTACTGGCACGCGTGTGTGTCTTGCGTTCCGTCTGCCCCAACCCTCGATACCCGCCCACTCTGTCTTCGATTGCACCCCCATTTCGGGGGGGGGATCCCTTCCCTGTCGGCCACTGACTGCAGTAGGGGGCCACGTGCGAACCCTACCCCTACCCCCCACGATTTCCGAGGGGGAGGGTGGGGCTCACCTCGCTGGGGAGCTCTCGAGCGAAGGGAACCCCACCCTCCCCCTCAGAAATCGTGGGGGGTAGGGGTAGGGTTCGCACGTGGCCCCCTACTGCAGCAACAACAGCAACCACAGCTGGCGCACGAAGCGCTCACGAGGCGTCCGCCGGTGACAACCCGGAGAGTCGAGCCAGCGCAGGCGGCGCCCACGAGGCGCCCACGGTCGGCCACCGCGCGGAAGCACCGACGGTCAGGCGGATCGCGCAAGAAGAACGGCCTGTCAGCCCTGCTCCCTCCTCCTCCCTTCTCCCTACTCCTCCCCTCCTCCCTCCTCCCTCCTCCCTCCTCCTCCCTCCTCCTCCTCCTCCTCCTCCTCCTCCTCCTCCTCCTCCGTCGGGTCCGACGCGTCGAGGGGCGTCGGTTAATCCCTGGCTCTCGCTAGTCCCGCCTGCCACGTAGACTGTGGCGATCATGACACTCATGACACTCCTCCTCCTCCTCCTCCTCCTCCTCCTCCTCCTCCTCCTCCTCCTCCTCCTCCTCCTCCTCCTCCTCCTCCATAGCAACCGCCTCACTCGCACCCGTTCATGCGAGGATTATGGGCCACGATTAGGGGCAGCGGTTGGAGCACGAGTCTACCGATTGCAGGCGACACACAGGCCGTTATCCTCGCAGCAAGTGCACCCATAGTGCCGATGTCAACCGAATGGTGGTGACGTATATGCATGCGGTCATAGGTACGACAAGAAGCAAGAACAGGAAGCGAAAGAGGAGTAATAGCGTGGGAGACAGGGAGGGGGAAGGGGGAAAAAGGAGGAGGACAAAACGAGACTGGAGAGAGCAAATGGGGAGAAACAGGAGGAGGAAGAGGAAGATAAGGATGAATGTCGCAGCTCCTCGTGGAAGCGGTGCCTGGCAGCGCAGGGTAGTACGACCGCGGGCTCCTGAAGGGTAGCACGTTCTCCTCTTTCTAAACCTTCCCAGCCACCTCCAATGTATCCTCATACATACTCCTTCTCCCACTCCTCTCCATCACACTCCTCTGCCCTCTCTCTTCAATCCTCCGTCTCCCCGTCCTCCTCCGTCCAATCTCTACCCTCCTCCCCCCTCCTACTCCCTCCCGTTCCTCCTCCTTCCCTCTTACCCTCCTCTCTATCCTCCCAGACGTACGTCTTACTCCCCGGCCGTTCCCTCCTCATCCACCTTCTTTCGTCCCCCTCCTTCCTACCAATATTCAATACACCACCTCATTGCCAACATCTCCCTCTTCTCCTTTCTCCTCCTCCTCCTCCTCCTCATCCCTCCTCCTCCTCCTCCTCCTCCTCCTTCTCCTCCTCCTCCTCCTCCTCCTCCTCCTACTCTTCCCCTACGCCTCATCCACTTCCTCCTCGCATCCCTCCTCCCTCCTGTTCCCTACTGCTCCTTATCATCACAATCCTCCTTGTTCCTTCTTCCTCCTCCTCTGCCTCCTCCTCCTCCTGCCTCTTCGTCCCCTGCTTCCGCCGCTGAAAACCCATGACTCACAACCCAAAGTCCACCAGACACTTGCAAAACCATATGAAGGCTCCTCGTCCTGCGCCTCATCACCATCCTTGCACATGATCTCGCCCTTTTTCCTCCTCCTCCTCCGAAATTATATTATATGAATACTACTCTCCTCTCTCCCCTGATGACGTCCGGAAGATCTCCGGCCCCCCTCCGCGTGCTGTTTGTTACACACCGGATTCCCCGGAAACGGGCTTTCGCTTGGAAATTGTTTCAAAATGTTGCTCCCGCTGAAGCGCTGGCCTCATTGTTGGGTTTCCGCTCGTTCCGAATCGTGCTCCCGCACTTCTTCCAAATAGGCCACAAAACCTAAAATTTGCCCCATCGGGAAAACCCTCGGAAGTGAGTACACTGTCGGTGTCGGTTCGTTGATTTTTACGCCGCAGAAGCCCCCCTTCACTTCGGGGTGTCGTCGTTTTCGGGAAGTATCAAGCGGGAGCTCCGTTTCTGCTTTGAAAAGGCGACGTTGACTGCAGAGCCAGCGGGTGTTCTCCATCAGCCCCGACTTGTGTGGAGCTTCTCGGGGAGCCCAAGGAGCTAGACATGGAGCCACGACTCCAGACTGGCCCAGACCTCCCGAAGACGATCCAGTTATCCTCCAAAGAACCTGGCGCCGTGTCATGACATGCTGTGCGGTGTTGTGTTCTGCGCCGCTGTGCGATGCCATGCTTTGCTTTGCACTTCTTTCTGGTGCAATGCTTCACTGCGCAATGCCACGCCATGCTATGGCATGCTACGCTCTGCCTTGCACTTCTACGCCATGCCATGCCGTGCTCTACAATGCATCGCGTACCCTCTCGCGATCATTGCCCTGCTCGACCTCCGACTGTGCGAATAGAGGAGATATCTACGCCGTGGTAAGGGATGGGAGGAAAGGGTAGGACGTCAGATACGACGCGAGCGCACCTAGCTTGTCCTCTTCCTCCTCGACCTCCTCGTCCTCCTCCTCCTCCTCTCTCCACCTCATCCTCCCTCCTCACTCCTCCACATCCCTCCTCATCCTGCTTCTCCTCCTCCTCCTCCTCCTCCTATTATTCTTCTCCTCCTAGTCCCTTCCTCCTCACCCTCCTGACACACTGTAGACGGTGTTGTATCACGAATACCTCCAGGGTGTAAAGTCCATCGGGCGGGGTGGTGGCTGCATTCCTCACATAACCTCAGGTTTCACGTATATTTGAAGCTCTGGTGTTGCGGGGCGTGCGGATTTTACTCCGCAGATAAAATCCGAGGGCTTGCATCCGAGTGTACTCATAGAACCAACAAGTCCCGACAATAATATTTTCTCAGGGTTGAAGATGGGCTCTGGCCAAAGCTTTTGTCGTTGTCGGAGCAACGAGCCAGAGGCCGCATCCCTCCTTAGTTAATATCGTTCTCGCTTCGCGAATTGACCATTCCCATTCCCATTCCCATTCTCCCCCTCCTGACACTAACACTGGCGACCCTTGTCAGCTACTGTTACCCCCCCGACGACGACAACGACGACGGTCACAAGCATGCTTGCAGCATCACAGCATGATCGACAACCAACACAACAGCACCGACTACGACAGCGGCGGCGGCGGCAACGAAAGCGACGACCATGACGACGACCACGACCATGACGACGGAGACGACAATGACGGCGACGGCGACGACGACCAGCATGCTTGCAACAACGTCGGCGACCACCACCCGCGACAACAGCGGCGACGGCGAGAACGGCGACGACCACGGCGGCAGGGGGGCCCGAGGCCTGCTCGGACCCGCTCGCCAGGCAGATGGCGCACTCGGCGCCGCCCAGTCCCGCCAACTGATCAAGCCGCGCGAAGTCGTCCTCCTCGAACCTGCAACGACGACGGCGTCGCGACCGCCGACGAGATGGCAGGAGTAGGAGGGAGGAGCAGGAGGAGTAGGTGGGGGAGAAGGAGGAGCGGGAGGAGGAGGCGGAGGGGGAGGAGGAGAAGGAGGAGGAGAAGGAGAGAGGAGCAGGAGGAGGAGGAGGAAGAGGAGGAGGAGGAGGAGGTGGAGGAGGAGGAGCAGCGGGAGGAGGAGGAGGAGGCGGAGAGGGAGGAGGAAAAGGAGGAGGAGGAGGGAGGAGAAAGGAGAAGGAGGAGAGGAGCACGAGGAGGGGGAGGAGGAGCAGCAGAAGAAGGAGGAGGCGGAGGAGAAGGAACAGGAGGAGGCGCAGGTGGAGGAGAAGGAGGAACAGGAGGAGGAGGAGGAGGAGGAGGAGGGAGGGAGGAGGAGGAGGTGGAGGAGGAGGCGGAGAGGGAGGAGGAGGAGGAGGAGGAGGAGGAGGAGGAGGAGGAGGAGGAGGAGGAGGAGGGAGGGGCCCAGAAATGTGTTCAATGGCGGCGCTAGTCTCCCAACGCCGGCATGCCGTCACGCACGACGTTTAGGAGGCAACTCCTAAGCTAGACTAAGCCGGATTAGGGCTTGGTCGGCCACGCATATACCAGCGCCGATGCTACATCTAACCTCCCAGGGGTTGCATCCTAACGACGTGGTTTGCCATTACGCCGTCCGCGTGCTTGGATCCCTGGGCTCGACAATACCCCGAGAGCTTGAGGAGGTGCCCTTTCGCCGCTGACCACTTGCCCAACCTAACATGGCGAAAAGATCGACCCTCAATGCCAACTTCCGGCGGATACCCTGGCTCGCGGTGGGCCCACGGCGAAATCCCACCGAATTTGTCGTAAGGCCCGTTCGTGGTGAGCCAAGGATTATGGCATAGCAATTTTACTGAAATCCACTTCTCTGCCAAGGCTGCTCGAATACACGCGCGCGTCAATTATGCCCCCGTGACATCTGCATCCGTTCGGCCACGGGATGATTGACCACAGCGCGCACAGCAGAAATGAGCTTGGGACTTGCCTGCGCCCTCTTCCGTGAACGAGCCCTGGACAGAAACGCCAGGACTGGATGGCGGCAACACACACGGCTGGATTGAACAACGCCCCAGACGATGCACTCACATGCGAAGGCCCTGAGGCCTGGGCCATGGAAGGGCCGAGCGCTGGAAAGGCATCTGGCCACGCGTCGGTGTGCCCAGCTCCCGCCCAAGCTGGGAAAACTGTGCATAGACAGTTCCCCGACCATGGCGGAAGCAGGAGGGCAGGGGGGAGGCCGGGGGGGGAAAGGCACCCAGGTGAGCGGAACGACGACTCGGCCGAGCTGGCCAGAAGGCGCCCGCGGCGCACCCACACTTTCACCCGAAGCCAAAGCTGAAGCTCACAGGAAAGTGGGACGGAGCCACCATGGAGATTTGCTCGACGGGTCGTCGTGGAAGAATGCTGCAAACTCGGCCAAGCACGGCCCCCTGCAGCACCCGCCAGACAGGCCGCGCTTGCACTCTCGTGCCCTGCTGGAGTTCGGGCGCTGCTCGGCACCGCCACTGCCGCCGCCAACCCCCCCTCGTCAGGGCCACCGACCCGGGGCGACGGCGACGGCGACCGTGGCGGTGGCCGACGCGCCCAGGCCCGGCGGCGCACCAAGCAAGACTGCGAGAAGCTCGATGGCCTCTGAACCAGACAGGACGGGGTAGTACCACTGGCCATCGCTCTGACGTCTATTCCCTGTGTTTTTGTTCGGTTTCGTGCGTGGCTGGCTTTTTCGCGAGATGATCAAGGATGTTCCTGGATGGTCCTCGCCGAAGGAAAAATGCACACGTCCGAGCGATGCCAAGACCAACAGCAGGGGGAAGAGACAGGACGGACGGGGGAAGCAAGGCAGCGGAGGAGGGAGGAGGGAGGAGGGAGGAGGGAGGAGGGAGGAGGAAGGAGGAGGATGGAGGAGGAGAGGAGGAGGAGGAGGAGGAGGAGGAGGAGTGGGGAGGAGGGAGAGGAGGAGGGAGGAGGAGGAGGAGGAGGAGGAGGAGGAGGGAGGAGGAGTAGGAGTAGAGTAGGAGTAGGAGTAGAGGAGAGTAGGAGGAGGAGGAGGAGGAGGAGGAGGAGGAGGAGGAGAGGAGGAAGGAGGAAGGAGGAGGAGGAGGAGGAGAGGAGGAGGGGAGGAGGAGGAGGAGGAGGAGGAGGAGGGAGTAGGAGGATTTGTTGTTGCCCGAGGGGCTCCAGCCGCGTCTGGCCAGCAGTTCAGGCCAGTGAGAAAGGAGAAGCAGTGGCGGCGACGGCTGCCTCTCCTCGCAGCGCCAGCTGCAGAGGGTGAGCGATGGGTTTCGTACGAACTTACTAGACCACTGTCGGGGCGGCGCCCCCGTGGCCTAGTCTGACCCGTCCGTGCTCTCCCCTCTGCTCCCCGCCGCCTCTGGCGGCGGAAAACCTCCTGCAGCTCGAAGAAGGCGCTGCACTTTCTCCTGGAAAAGTGGCAGTTCGAGACGGAACAGGCTCGAGCGGCGCCACGTCTATCCCTAGTGCCTGGGCATCCTCAGCACGAACCTGGACAGACCCCGACACGGAAGCGGGTAGCCCAGGCACTAGGGCAGGGGCTGCACGGCTCGCAACTTGCGAGGCAGCCCTATGGTGGTGAGGCGGTGTTCGCCCACTCTGCCTAAGGGCGCCAGGCAGGCTGGCCTCCCTATTGGCAGGAGAAACTAAAAGAGAGGCGAGCGGAGCTTCGTCTTCCGGTCGTTCCAGAGCGTCCTTCTCCAGACGGCTCAAGGCCAACACCACAACCTGAGGCTGCTCTGGGACGACCGAAGGGGCTACACAGCTCGCGCCGGCGCTGGAGGCAGCGGGAGTTGCTCTGACGGCAGCGTCCTCTCCCAACCCTAGGCTGCCGAGGTGTGAGCTGGCTCGAGTCGGCTCGAGCTTTACATCTTGCGCGGCAGTACGCAGAGGAGGCGGTGTTCGCCCCTTGAACAGTGAGACGCCAGGTTGGCAGGTCTCGGGCAAAGGGCCAGACAGCGCTTGGCGAATTAAAAGCGGGGCTTCGTCCTCCTGGCGATCCAGAGCATCCTCCTCTCGAGAAACAAACGAACGCTCGAACCCGTCGGGATGCTCTGGCACGGCAGGTGGGTCGTCGTGGCCTGTGGGGCCGTGGCTGGCTGCGTTAAGGTCGTCTGCCTGTTGCACTGCAGTGGATGGGCGACGCTGACCTCCGTCAACGCCCCCCGAAGCTGCGGCAGCGGTGAACGGGTGCAAGGAGCATTCTCCAGGACAGTCGTCCTCGGGAGCCTCCATAAAAACTTGGATCCCGTTCCTGCCGCGCTGCGGGTGGATCCCTCGGAGGACGCGATTCCACTGCCACTGCTGTCGGCAACCGCGGAAACCTTTGCACCGACTTCGGTACAGGTTAGACTTCTGCGGAGTACCAGTGGAAACGAATGACGCACAATGCAAACAGATGAAGAGGTGTGCTCCGTCAGAACACGAGAAACAATCAATGCTGTGGCGTTGACTCGCCACCCGTTCTAAATCTAGGCCGAGTATGATCCCCAGGCATCTTCTGGGCGGGGGCCTGGGTGCGCTCATGAGGGAGGTCGAAAAGTCTGACCGCCTCGAGGCACGGCAACACTTGACGCATCGCCACAGCCCAGCGATCCACGAAAAGTTGCACTCCTCTGGCGCTACTCTGCCCAGAGCGTCCTTTGAAATCGGTCTGTACTCCACCTCGCCATCAGCCTTGAGAGACGGGAAAAGCGGTAAAACCTTCATGGCAAGGCGGCAGACAACAGAGACAAAATGGACCTGCTCATCGACCGTGGCTAACGCCTCGTCGTCGCGCTCATGTAGTGCAAGGGCGGCCTTCGCTCCTCGGTCGGCGAAGCCGTTGCCAACCCTTATGAAACGTTCGTGGTCAGTGAGGCTGTCATCGTTGAGAGACGGATGCGCCTTGACCTTATACAGTTCAGATATAAGACTGGCTCCTCCGTGGCTATGCGCCTGGAGCGTGTGGCCTGCATAAACTTTGCGGAAATTGGCACGGTCCGCGTGACTTGACTTAAACTGAGAAGTCACATTCTGGCAATCTGAGAAAACCTCTGAAGGACCCACGAAACACATCGTGGCCGCAGTAAGTGCGCAAAATTCGGCACACTGTGGAGTCTGCGGCAGAGGCGCGTGCACTGGGCCTCTGTTATCGCACTGAAGCTGGCCGTGTCGAAAAAAAAAAAAACCAGAGAGGGCCCAGGCAGCCCGACTTACTTCTCTAATGATGTGGCGGCTGCACGACCCATCCACAAAGATCTGCCCCTGGAGTTGGGTCCTGTCCGAGCGAGGTTCGACGAACCAATCGGCCTCCAGGGTCCCAGACGCACGCGGGGTGGGGTAATCATCTCCTGGGTGCGGCAGCCCCCCTCTAGTGACTGCAAAAAGCAAGTGCTTGTGATCGACGAAACTGTCGATGCTGCCCAAGGTCTTGCGCTCCACCGTGTCCTCTCTGGCTCCCTGAACAGCGAGGCATTTCCAGATGCGATGAAAAAGCGCATCTCGTTGACCGCATCCCAACGGACAAAGCTCCGAGTGCAAGTACCCATTGGAGATCGCGGAGGTCCTGGCCCATAAGGCCCCCGCACACACGGTCCGAAGGGCACCTTTTTTTTCCAGGGGCGAATATTTATTGGAGGCGAGGTGCCTCGCAACAACATCTAAACAGGCCTTCTGGCGGAAACCTACTTTCATGCCGATGTCCTCCTCGAGCCTTCGAAAAGCAGCTTCGCTGAGCATCTGCTTCAACATGCCAGGCGACTGAAGCGTCAAGGACACCTCGTGGCCTTGGTCACTGACCAGGGTACAAAAATCAGACATGGCCCAGCGGATGCGTTCGGGGGTTTTCTCATGGCCATCCCTGGGCCGCCGACACTGCGCCAGGTCCGAAGTTTCCTGGAAAAGACGGCTTCCCAGGACTCGCGGAGGCTGCTGACGGGGAGGGTGGAGGGATGCACATGGCA